CGTCGAGATAAGACATGGAGTGAGCGATGAGGGTAGCTACCGTTGTTGTGGAGATTTCCGATGATAGGCAGTTTCGACGGCGACGGTAGTAAAATTAGTTTTCTTTTGCCAATTGGACGAATCAAGACGATGAAGAAGATAACCAACAATGAGAAGAACAAGAGGCATGAATTCAACAAGATTTCATGCTGCTGTAAAGATTACAGAAAAGTTGGCATATCCATTACCATTACACAAATTATTGTATATAATGGAATTTTAGAACAGACTAAAGGCTCCCATATTTAAAAATGAATTTTATCTATAAAAAATCTCATCAATTTGTGGTTCCAAACATTTGAAATAAATTATTAATAGTTTTCAATCCACCCGTAATTAATCATTCACTCTCCCATTATCTTAAAATATATAAAAATCAAATTAATTCCCTGTATTCAATCAATCACTCATCCATTATCTTAAAATATAAAAACAAATCAGAACTTCAGTAATAATTGTATACGAAAATTCTAGAATTATTTATCAATTGTTCGATTGTATTCGAATATGAAATACCTTAGCTTTATAAATCAAATACACCTATTTATCCATGTGATAAAACATTTCACTTTCTTAATTTATGTACTAAAAATATTTAGTAATTCAAAAACAGTTTTTTTTAAATATTCATTCGATAAAAAATTACTATATAAAATTCTCAATACAAAGTAATTTATAACTTATTCAGTATCATATTTAATATAGAAGAAACATAACCCCTAAATTGGGGTGTGATAAAAATCAAAAGAGTAGAGCTCAAAACAGAATAACATAACACTTTAATTAATGGTTAGAAAGGAAAATTACAAAATCAGAAGAATTGAGATAAGAATTTCCCCAAGCGCGAAAATACAACATCACCCCCTTATAAAACTACATCGTTTTACGTTATATATATATATAAGAAAATAAACCCCCAAACGACCATCCCTCATTTTACCTAGTTATCTTCTAAGCCCGATGAGATATAGAAGATTATTATCTCAACTCTCCTCCCTTTTTTCCTTTCATCCGTCGCGGGGAAAACCAGCAAAGCCACGGCCGCCGTGAGGCGACGACAATGGCCTTGAAATCAGAAACAAAAATGACACTTGATTTTACCTCCCCCATCTCTTTATGAAAACCAACCCTTCCCTTACCCAAAATATGACTCAAACCTCAAACCCATAAGCCTAAAACAAAAGTATTTTACCTAAGAGGGTAAACTCTCCTTACTTCAGTGGGCCTCTGATTTGTTGAAGGGTAAGTTTTCTTGTTCATCCCTTTTTCTTCTTGTGTTTTTTTTAGGTTCTCTCTCTTTGTCTAAAATTTTTTCTTTTCTTTTTCTCCGAATGTCCTCTCTTTCCATAGTTGCTAGTATCTTATCTCCTCTTGCTGTGTGAGATGATTACTTTTAGGATAGGGGAACCATCATTCTTTTTACCGAGTTGTTAGAAAATCCTAATTTTTCGGGATTTAATAATATTTAAAAATTGGTTTTTATTTTTTGGCTGATTTTCTGATTTGGTGTTTGATTTAGGTACTGTGGATGACGTCAGAGGCGGTGTTAAGCTCTTCGGTGGTGGCTCACGCGACGGCTTGGTGGCGGACTTCCATTGGCGACAGTAGCTGGTTACTATTTAGTGTTAAAAAACCCTAACCCTTAGGTGATCTAGATCATTGGATGGGTCTAGATCCAATGAGTAAGATTTGGGGCAATTGGGGATAAAGATAAAAACCCTAGTCGGGTTTAGGTCAGCTGGGCCTGAGATGGGTCGGATCCTGGGTTGGGTTTGCTGTTTGTAACCGGCCTAATTCTGTTAGGTTGTTTCTAGTGGACTGCTGGGTCATTTGGGTTTGGGCTTGTATTGGGCTTCGGGTTAATGTAATTGGGTTGATTTCTTTAGGTTCCATTTGAGCTTGTGTAAGCTGTAAAATGATAATAATAAAATTAGATAATGATGATAATAATAATACTAATAATAATATTAGTAATAAATATAAAAAAAATCGGATAAAAACGGGTGTCAACACACCCGACTCTTCATATATTTCAAACTTATATTTTTCTGTTAAAAAATTGACGACTGTTCGAGTTAGACGTTAACCTACTAATAGAGATATGATAAAATTTGATCTCATAAACAATTTAAATTGTGTTTTGGATTTTGTTGAGTTTTTTGAGCTGTATGCAAATGATGACACCTTTTCCTCAACAGAGCATTAAGCAAGGAGTTGTAGGGGAATGGCCTTCGTTGACATTTTGTGTGTCCCAAAATGAAAGGAGGAAAGACAAATTTTAAAAACTAATAATAAGAAAATGAAATTGACGTATGACTCAACTTTCCAAAACCAATGAATGTGGGTATGGTTGCATCCCTAATGGAGAATGATAAGACATAAAAGTCGGTTCTTGAACCATCAAAATTTGTAGTGGATAAAATCATGATTATGGCATTTGAGTCCATTGTTTTTGAGCTTTTTAAGACTTTTAGGTCGTTTGTTTCATATAAAATAAATTTTAAAAAAACATATCTTCCTAAAATGAATTACATTCTTTAGAAAATAATTTTTAAAATAATTTTACTATGTTTAGATAATGCTATGTAAATTTTTTTTTCACTTGTTGATAATCTGTTTACAAACTATTTATTATAAATATTAAATATAATAAATAATATTAATTATTATAAAATATTAATATTATTATTTTTAAAATATTAGAATAATTTATTAATATTATTTATATCATTACTGATATTAGAATATTATTTTTAAAATAAATAATATAATTTTTTATATATTATTAAAATAAGAATATAATATCATATATTATATAATATATAATATAATTAAATATATTATTATAAACTAAAAGTATAATATTATCTTATTAAAACTATTAATAAATATGTTTTAATAATTAATATTTTATTAAAATATTATATTAATATTAAATGCATAAAATAATATTATTTTGAATATTTATGCTTTGAAATAAAAAGTTTGGAAAACATCGTAAAAAAAATCAAATCGTAAGTCATTTTTCAGAAAATGCAAAGGAATTTCTGTTGATCAGGAAAATGAATTATATTGACATTCTGTTTTTCACCAATCAAACATTGAAAAATAATGAAAATATTTTCCGGAAAACCTACGGGGAAGAAAACAAACCCTTAAATAAATTACATTTATATTTTCATAACACAATCAATATATAAAGGATAAACTTCAAATTTGATCACTTTCATTTAATATTTGTACGCTTTTTCTTACTAATCTAAAAAAATAATTTTTATCACTTATGTTATCATTAGTTGGATAAATTAACACTTTAGTAAAAATGTTTAATTTTTAATTTAACACTTAAACTTTAGATAAAATACGAATGATGAGTCTTTAACTTTAGATAAAATATGAATTATGAGTCTTTGTGTAAATCTAAATAAATATATGGACAAATTTTTAATTTACCCCTCTTTTAATATTTTATCTTTGCCAAAATTCCATTCCAATTGATACTTGTTCATTCGTCATCATCCCTTGAAACTCTCCCTCTCTCAGGTATCAAATGTTCATTCCAATTGAATAAATATTATGGGTAAAATTTATAAATGAGACTACAAGATGTATTTTATTAAGTTTTCTTACTATTAAAAGTTATAGAATAATTTTTCGATTATAGAGTATTGTTTTGTTGAGTCTCTGATTATTAATAGTTACAAAATTGTCATTCAACTATTCATATTGTATCAAAGTGGTCATTTTCTGTTAAAAACTAACGACAGTCTGACCTAAACATTAACATGTTGAATGAGATATAATAAAATCCGATCTCAAAATCTCAAATGATTATCATATCTTAGTCAGCATGTTAACGTCCAGCTCAAATGATCGTTAATTTTTTAGTGGAAAAGACTAGTTTAGAACATATAAATAGTCGGTGACCATTTTATAACTTTTAATAGTCGGTGGACTTAACAAAGTAATGTCCCATAGTTAGAGGATCATTTTACAACTTTTAATAGTCTAGAGACTCAATAAAATAACACCCTATAGTCGAAGAACTATTTGTGTACTTTACCCAAATATTATCTTACTTTTTAAAATAACAACAATAGCAAACAAATAATATTATTTGGAGGTAAAATGAAAAAAAAAAATCTTTAATTATTACTTAGTTTAATGAGATGAGGCGTTAAATTACTTATTCAAAATCAAAAATCGAAATAATGGTGATGTGAATGAGTCTTATAATATATTCAATTCGAATTAGTTAATATATTTTGTAAAAAAAATGAATTAATCAATTAATAAATTAAACATTGATGATTAAATAACAAAAAAAAATATAGAAAGAAACATCTATAAAACTCACCAAATGCTAAAAACGTGATAATTTATTTGAGTGACGATCCATTACAATTACATCGATGATTAATTTGATTATAAAAACCAGAAGAAAACTTACAATTATTCTTCAACTTATCAACAGTCGTTGCATAATTAAACCTTATATTTTTTCTAGGTAAATTGCACATTTAGTACCTAAACTATCAATTTTGATCCATTTTAGTACCTTAACTTTCAATTCTTTTCAAAATCATACTTAAAGTTTAGTTATTGTTTCATTTTTAGTACCAAAACTTAAGTGTTGAAAAATTTTAAAGTTTAGGTACCAAAACATGTTTAGTACCTAAACCATCCTTAAGTTTTGAAAAAATGAAAGTTTAGGTACTAAAACGGACCAAAACTGATAGTTTAGGTATTAAACGTGTAAGTTTTTAAAGATGGTACTAAAATGAAATAAAAACTAAACGTTAGGTATGCTTTTGAAAAAAATGAAAGTTTAGGTACTAAAACGGATCAAAACTGATACTTTAGGTATTAAACGCATAGTTTACCCTTTATTCTAATAGGAAAATACATGCAAATCGTTTTCATTTCAATGGGTTAACAACACGACAGTTTTGCCTGATTTCTCAAGCATTTCCGGTGAGAACTTCGATGGCAGCCATCTTCTTCATGGATTTGGCGAATGCAGAGAAAAACGAAGAAGACGATCTTTGTAACCGGAACACGGCCCTGTTGGAATTCCTGTCTGTAAGAAGTGCAGCGTCTGAAACGAACAACCCTTTGTTTTGTAATAACATGTTGTAGTAACGAGTGTCGAATGATAGTGAACATTCAGGATCCATTTCCACTGTTGTTGTTGGACTTGCTGTGTTGGGACATTTTTTACTCAAGGTTTCGGCGTAAGCTCGATCCAAGCTCGGATCGGCATCGCATTTGCTGGTGAAGTTGTAAAGCCTTCTTGAGAATGCCCCACAGCGAGAACTCCGATGGTGTGCGCACCTGTTTGATCAACGAAAATCAATGCCACATTGTTGCATTTTTTAAAAGTCCAGATAACCAAACCTAAACTCGCTTTTTCTTTTTCTAAATAGTATAGGATGATTAAAAGGTAATACATGTTTAAAATTTTGTTTAATCTATTGAAAACACACAACTTGTAAACATAGCTACTCGAACCCATAGAATAACCTTTCTCAGATTTTATGTCATATATTTGGATATTGATATGAAAAATCAATGTTACATGCAAGTATTACGGAGTACATGAGGAAAAGAAACCTTTTTTCTCTCTATGGTATCCATGATTAAAGCATATATCCAATCAGACTGGATTGAGAGAAGGGTGGGGACAATCATTCCAAATTTTTTTAAAAATATTTATGTATTTCAGATGTTTTTATTATATTTTCTATTAATAATATATTTTTGTCTCATAAAATTTTATAAATTCGCCACTAACATAAAATCATAATTTTCTCCTTGTATTCAAGACATATTTAGACATGCATTCAGTGATCCGACATCACGTGTAAGCATTTTGAAGACATCAGATTTTGTCCTGCCAACCGAGGAGTCTTCATGTAACCAAAAAAGAAGAGTTGGATTAGGACTTAAATATTAGTCTAAAATAGAGTTGGATTAGGACTCAAATACTAGTCTAAAATAGGATTTTTTAGTACTATAAATAAGCCTTGTAATTACCACACCAGGGGACACGATTATGATACAGGATTACGCACACAAAAAAATACCCAAAGCAAATATGCAATAAGCCCCAAAGATTCGCTTATAATTTTCAACAGAGAAATAAAAGATGTATTTTTACATATATTGCTTCGATTCTCGCTTGCACGTGGCTTGTTTCACTTCTTCTTTTCCGTTTTCACTTTGAAAGGGCCGATGAACACAAGGGAACCGCAATCTTTTCTCTTAGATCTACGCTTCCCCGAGGCTTATTTTGAAAAACCGGTTTGATTTTCGGTTAAAGGAGGGGAAGAGCTTTTTAAAAATCTATATTAGTCCATTTATTTATTATATGGATATTTTATTCAATTATTTTTATTATTCATGTTATTATTTTACGTATATATATATATATTAAATTATTTTCATTTGATTTTTACTATATTTTATTATATATTATATATATATATATATATAGTTCTTTAATATTTTACGTATAAGTCTATTATTACTATATATATTGTAATTATCTTTATCTAGTTATATATTTTTTTATACTTTTAATAGTTTATTTATATACCTATTATTAATATATATATATATTCTTAATTATTTTTATTTGATTATTTCTTTATTTACGTAATATATCTTATAACTTTATATATATATATATATATTATTTTTTATTCATTATTATATATATATTTTTTAAAATCTTGTGTCTTTATCATTATCATTATTAAACATTATACTATATACTACTAACTTAGAGGGCCCATTTTTTTGTTTTATTTCTAATTAAAGTCTCTTCCACTTTACTCTTTTTGTCTTATTTCTGACTAAAGCCCCCCACTTTCGGTGATGTGAGAGGGTAGCTTTTCTATTTTTAAATATTTGTTGTATATATATATATATATATATAGCTTATTTATTTTATTAATACTTTGATGTATACATATATATATATATTTTCCTTTTTCAAATATTACTATATATAATTATTACTTTACTATTTTTTTCCTTATCTTATTTATTTATTTTATTTATTTTATTCTCTTTATCTTATTTGTTTTCTTTACCTTGTTTATCTAACACATTTCTCGATTTTTTAAGGATATCTTCAAATCAATCTAAGGTAAGTAATCAGGATCAAATTTTACCTTTTTATTTAAAATTACAATTTACTTAATTTAAGACAACTAAAAGTATGCGGTATCGAAAGGGCGGTTCAAGGGTGCTAATCCTTCCTTGACCGTAACCGACTCCCAAACTCGAGACGTTTCTGGTACAACGCAGATCAGGTAAAATGGTGTCCGACTCACCTAAATTCGTTTTAAAGTGGTCGGTGGCGACTCCAATCCACATTTTCCTAAGTCGAAGCCCAATTCCGGGGCTCAACCGAAAGACGGTTGCGACAGCTTGGTGACTCCGCTGGGGACAGGTAAGCGAGTCAGGCTAAGGTAATTTCCAGTTGTCTTTTTAATGAAAAGGGTAAGTTTAAATTTTAAGGTAACATTTCGATCCTTATTGCTTACTTTTGATTATATTTTTCTGAGTAAATAGTTGACTGACCGTTTTCTAATGATTTCAGCTTCCCGAACTTTTTTCATCTAAAGGCTCTATACCCGAGCTCCGAACTCGTTTTAAGTGGGGGTGAAAGCGACGCATTCGTGTGAATTTATTCACCGCATATGCCTAGCAAGTAGCCTTCGGGATTCAAATACCTTATGTCTTCGTGTGAATTTATTCTCCGCATAGACATAAGGGAATGTGTCCTCTCGAGTTTAATTTAGTCCACACAAGCCTATGATGGGTTTAGGACTAAGGGTCTGGTAAGCCCAAGGGGGCTCCAGCAAGGAGAACTCGGGTACCGTTTTTAGAACCTAAACCGGGAGACTTTGAAGAAATAGAGCCTACCCCAAAACCACATTCCAAAACCTAGGACATTTATTTCCTAACCATGTTTTTTTCCCTTATGTTTTTTTTCTTGCCATTTTTTTATTTTTATTCATTTTTATTTTATTAACTGTTTGCCTTTGTATTTGTTTTTTTAGCATTTGCATCATAACAAGAGGTCATTGATCCCTAAAAGGTGTTTGTTACACATAATAATCTGAATTAATGGATAAAGGTGTTGTAATACAAGAGATTAAAAACCCCGAGGTACGACTATGGTCCGAGAAGACTCAAAAAGAAAAGGGAGACAATCTTCAAGGAAGCTATGTGTCAGAACTGGTTAGCTACGCTTCTATTAGCCTAAAGCAGAATGACGTGCAAGAGCTTCGGGACATCTGGGGCAGTTGGAAGAATGATCAGAAATAGAAGTTCAACCAACGGTACGGTGACATTGTATTGTTGCTTCATATCAAGACTGATGAGCCCTTGATCAGAGCCTTGGTTCAGTTCTGGAACCTGGGATACAGTTGCTTTACTTTTAATCAGGAGGACATGGTACCCACCATTAAAGAGTACACTACACTGTTGCACTGTGAAAATATCAGACTGGAGCGAGCTTATATTAAACACATCAAGAGTTAGTCTTTCAAGATTGCACTAGCCAAGGTTGCCGGGGTTGACGAAAGATGGGTAACAGACCGAGCTCGATGTAAAGGCAGTGGGGAAGGAATTGCCTGGCTTCATATCAAGCAACTGATGAAGGACCATCCCGATGAGTGGAAGACAATAGACCTGTTTGCACTGGGTCTGTATGGTTTGATTATATTCCCGAAGACTTTGGGATACATTGATGCTGTTGTGGTGGAACTATTTGAGAAACTTTCGAAGCGAGTAAACCCAGCACCTGCCATCTTAGCCGAGACCTTTCGTTCTCTTAATCATTGCAGAAGAACTGGTGGAGGAAGGTTCATTGGGTGTGTTCAGCTCCTTCAAGTCTGGATTCACAGCCACTTCTGGAAGACTAACGGGGTTGCTTACCGCCTATTTAGCACCACCTATTCACCTTTGGGAGAGTTCATCACTATGAAATGGCATGAGGTGCTACAAAGGAAAAATGGATGAAGGTCTTCACGCATCTTCAGGACCGGTATATTACCTGGAGAGCCCCCTGGTTGTTCTTCAGTAATGTTCTTTTCAAGTGTGGGAATTCTGACACTATGACCCTATTTGGACTTTGGGGTGCAGTTGGGTATTCTCCGTTGTTGGCACTTAGACAGTATGGGGCACGTTAGTTTGTCCCAGCAACATATGGATTATCTACATCAGAGTTTATGTATCACGGTGACAGTTATAAGAAGATGATCAAAGAAGTAGCCGAGTCATGGAAGAAAGTATCTCGGATGGATGTCTAGAAGATTTAGTCCGAACATACCTTTGATTATTTTTATGCCTCTTACAAGATAAAACATTTTTGTCTGAATAAGGATTATTTATAATAATGGACACTTTTCTGGATCAATGCCTATAAATTACATACATCACGCATTACATACTTTGCATTTTTATTTTCATATTTTCCATGTTTTTACAAGAGAAAGAGCAAACACCAAGTTTACCACCGCAAGCATTAAATACGCATCACCCGCGCAATACTTGAACAAAGAAGAGACAAATGGAGGCCAGAATGAAAAAACTTGAGGAGAACATGACAAGACTGCAAAAAAAAACTAGAAGATAAGATGGCTCAAAACAGTCAGAGCACCCTGGAGTCCATCAAGAAAAACCAGGAGTCCTTGGTCGACCAAATCGTGGTCAAGTTATCGGGTTTGCAGAAAGCTAGTACAGTAGGGGGAAGTCCCTTCGAGGGGGAAACCACATCACCAACCCCACAGGTGGTTATTTCACCCGGAATTCTACCCAGACCACAAGAAGATTCTTCTACTGTCAAAGGAAAAACATCATCTGCTATTTAGGTGCAAATTGAGGTTCCATTAACGAACGGGGCCTTTGTAATTATCAATGCTGAGGAAGATATTGTGGCAAGTGTGACCACGGAGGCCCCATACATCGAAGTAGATGAGGAAGTGGTGGAGTGTTCATTCCACTCCTTGGAATTTGTGAATGCCACCTTTTTGGCAGAAGGAAGAAGGATTCCTAAACCCCGACTTTCCAAGTGTACTAGAATGGAGATCATGCAGACTTTGGGAAAAGGCGCCAGGACTAGAAGAGGGTTTAGGAAGTCTCTGCAAGGAAGGATTAATACAGTCCTTCCTATTTCAAAGATAGATCAGTTTGGGCTCGGTTTTCAGCCCAATTACCATGAAAAAAAAAGGAAGTTCAGAAGAACCGAGAGAAAAGACTAGCCAGGTTGACTGGAAGTGAACTTCAATGGGAACCCATGATATTCCCGCCTCTCTGCCACACATTCCAGTCAGGTGATTATGTATTTGAGACCACCTTGTCAGATTTAGAAGCAGATTTGGAGGATTTGAGCATCAATGCCGTAACCATTGGAAATGCTGACAACAAGGATAGATCTGGGATATGACCTCTGCCACCTAGGTTCATGCCTAGCAGTTGGTCGGTCGAAGAACTACATGTGGTTTACAAGAGTCTTTCAGAGTAATATTCAAACCGTACCTATTTGCCTATACCCAGGGCAATAGGTGATCTTTTGTAAGGGTGAATAAACATTATGTTTAGGTTCAATAAAAGATGCATTTTTTTCTTTCCTCTTCCCATGACGAACAAATTTTCCTTTTTTTTCCCTTTTTGAATTCATCGTCTATTTCTTATTTGATATTTATTTCCACTTTCTCTTGAATTTAATTCTTGACTATTTCATGTGGGGGATTTTCCTCTCACGCATGTACATTTTTCCTCCTTTCAGATCCCCAGATAACAATAATGTAGGCACTAATGATCCTGATCCGGAGGTGGATTTTGAATCGGCCATTTGTCTCGGGGAATTTGATGAATGCGACACTGAAGAGGAGTGCAACTTGCCAACAGATTTTTTGAGAATGATAGAAAGAGAAGATAAACAAATACTGCCCCATAAAGAGATAATCGAAATCTTGAATCTAGGTACTGAAGAAGATCAAAAGGCGGTTAAAATTGGTACAACTCTTTCGACTGGAGCAAGACACAGCCTGATAGTCTTACTTTGGGAATACAGAGAGGTGTTCACCTGGTCGTATCAAGACATGCCAGGATTAGACACAGATATGGTAGTCCACAAACTGTCTATCAAACCAGAATGCAAACCAGTACAGCAGAAACTAAGAAGGATGCGACTAGAAATGCTCCTTAAGATAAAGAAAGAAGTCCAGAAACAATTTGATGCTGGTTTTCTTCAAGTGGCCAAATATCCGGAGTGGATGGCCAACATAGTACCTGTGCCGAAGAAGGACGGGAAAGTATGCATGTGTGTCGATTACCGGGACCTTAACAAGCCAAGTCCCAAAGACAACTTTCCTCTGCCACACATAGACACTCTGGTGGATAATACAGTCGGGAACAACTACTTTTCATTCATGGATGGATTTTTGGGATACAATCAGATCAAGATGCACCCTGAAGACATGGAGAAGACCACTTTCGTCACAATGTAGGGAACGTTCTGTTACAAAGTGATGCCTTTCGGATTAAAGAATGTTGGGGAAACATATCAGAGAGATATGGTGATCTTGTTCCATGACATGATGCATAAAGAAATCGAGGTTTATGTCGACGACATGATTATAAAGGCACAGACCGAGAATAAATATATCGAGCATTTGAGAAAGCTCTTCCAGAGATTGAGGAAGTTCCATTTACGACTGAACCCTAGCAAGTGTACCTTCGGGGTAACATCCGGAAAACTGTTAGGCTTCGTGGTCAGGAGAAGAGGCATTGAGGTTGATCCTGACAAAGTTAAGGCTATCCAGAATCTACCACCACCTCAAACACAAAAGGAGGTCCGAGGTTTTCTGGGCAGATTGAATTACATAGCTCGGTTCATATCTCAGTTAACCGATAAATGTGATCTAATCTTTCGCTTTCTCCGAATGAATAGCCATGGAGTATGGGATGAAAACTGTCAGACTGCATTCGAGAAGGTGAAGGAGTACCTGTCTAATTCTCCAATCTTAATGTCCCTCATCCCAGGCAAACCTCTATTCTTGTATCTATCCATATTCGAGAACTCAATGGGGTATGTCCTGGGTCAACATGACAAATCTAGAAGAAAGGAAAGGGCCATATACTATATGAGCAAGAAGTTCACAGATTGCGAGGTCAGATATCCTCCTATTGAGAAGGTTTGTTGTGCTTTAGTATGGGCTACGAAAAGACTTATGTTGTATCACACCACTTGGTTGATTTCCAAGCTAGATCCACTAAAATACATGATGGGTGTACCCACTCTATCTGGAAGGTTAGCTTGATGGCAGATGCTATTGTCTGACTTCGACATAGAGTACGTGAATCAGAAAGCAATCAAAGGAAGTGCCATATCAGATTTCTTGGAAAATAGAACCGATGAGAGTTATGAGCCCTTAAATTTTGATTTCCCGGATGAAGACTTGATGGCTTTATCCTTAGAAGAAGCAAATACTTCAACAGATAGTTCCTGGAGAATGTATTTCGATGGGGCATCAAATGCACTAGGACATGGCATCGGGGCAATACTGATCTCTCCAGAAGGGAGTCACTACCCATTTACCAGCAGACTGAACTTCGATTGCACCAACAACATGGCGGAGTATGAAGCTTGTGTCCTGGGAATTCGAGCTGCACTGGGGCAAAATGTAAAGACCTTGCGGATATATGGAGATTCAACATTAGTAATCTATTAACTCCGTGGAGAATGGGAAACCAAAGATACAAAACTGATGGAATACCGGAAGCTAATACTGGATCTGCTTGAGGAATTCGATGAAGTCACCTTCCACTATGTGCCAAGAGAAGAAAATCAAATGGCTGACGCTTTGGCTACCTTGGCAGCGGCATTCAAAGTTGGCGGGGAATCTGAAATGATGCCAATTTACATGGAGTTGTATGAGTACCCCGGCTCATTGCTACCAGATTGAAGAAGTGAAAGACACCAAGCCTTGGTACTACGACATTTTGCAGTATATCAGGCATCGAATTTATCCAGAGGAAACCACTGAGACCGATAAAAGAACCATTAGAAGAATGGCAGCTGGATACGTCCTTGATGGGGAGATCTTGTACAAGAAAAGCCATAACCAAGTTCTGTTAAGGTGCGTCGATGCTGAAGAGGCAAAAATGATAATGGAAGAAAAACATTATGGAGTTTGTGGAGCACATGCAAATGGACAAATGATGTCGAGACAGATAATGAGATGCGGATATTTTTGGTCCACACTGGAAAATGATTGCATCAACTACGCTAGAAAATGTCATAAATGTCAGATTTATGGAGATAAAATAAATGTTCCACCTCATCCGCTTCATGTCATGACATCACCATGTTCTTTCTCTATGTGGGGCATGGATGTTATTGGGCAAATCCATCCGAAGGCTTCGAATGGTCATCGTTTCATCCTTGTAGCTATCGATTATTTCACTAAGTGGGTTGAGGCTGCTTCTTATGTCAATGCCACTCAATCTGTTATTTGCAAGTTTTTGAAGAAAGAGATCATCGGTATGATTTACCTGAAAGGATCATTACCGATAATGCTACAAACTTGAACAATAAAATGATGAAGGCTACTTGCGAGCAATTCAACATAAAGCATCACAATTCTACTACTTACAGACCAAAGATGAACGGCGCGGTAGAAGAAGCAAACAAAAACATTAAAAAGATAGTGAAGAAAACGACTGAGACCTACAAGGACTGGTATGAGAAGTTGTCTTTCGCTTTGTTCGCTTACCGAACCTTGGTACGAACCTCGACTGGGGCAACCCCATTTTCACTAGCCTACGAAATGGAAGCAGTGCTGCCCATTGAAGTAGAAATTCTGTCATTATAGGTCTTGATAGAAATTAAATTGGATGACGCAGAATGGGTGCAATCCAGATATGATCAGCTTAATCTGATAGATGAAAAGAGACTGAAAGTCATTCACCATGGTCAAATCTATCAGAAACGAATAATTAGAGCACATGACAAGAAGGTACGCCCGAGAATATTCCGTGAAGGAGATCTGGTGCTGAAAAGAATTTTGCCAGTTCAGAAAGATTTCCGAGGAAAATAGACGCCAAATTGGGAGAGACCTTATGTCGTGAAAAAGGCCTTCTCCGGAGGAGCCCTTGTCTTGGCTGAAATGGACGGGCCCGAACTGCCACATCCCATCAATTCGGATACAATCAAGAAATACTTCGCTTAGGATGAAAACCCGAAAGGGCGTCCTAAGTTGGAGAAAGAAAAAACAAAAAAGAACAAAAAGTGAAAAACGTTTAGGGTGAAAACCCGAAAGGGCGCCCTAAATTGAAAAAAATGAAAAAGAGAAAAAAGAACAAAATAAGGTAGGTTCAAGATGAAAACCTGCAAAGGGTGTCTTGCAACCAATGATGGGTCAAAGTTGAAAACTTGAAAGGGCGATTTGGACAATTCAAGAAATCCAGACAATTGAAACTCCCCGGCATCTAAATTTTCCAGAGAATCAACGAGTCGGAGAAAGGTTGCACTCTCCTGAATGTTGTCGCATTCTCAAAGATCCTTTGGTAAAGGTCGTATTCAAGGTCGCCTAATGGATTTTCAGCTCAGAAGTGCCCACATTATTGAAATCTAAGACGTTCATTTACACCCCATCATGTCTTCATCTTCCAGAATATTTTCCATGTATTATTTGTTCCTTTTTTCCTCATGAATAAAAGGTAATTTTTTTCTACACCAATTCCTTTTGAGCATCTTGGATTGAGCTTAAACTTAATGATTTATTTACTTATGCAAAAGATATTCGCATATTACTGTACAAAGATTCATTGAAAAGTACAGGTACTCAAAAGTCGATCGAGGCTCATGCATATAGTTGAGATGGTCGAGAAGCATTTCCCAGATCAAGGATATAAAAAAAACAAACATCATATTTGAACATTGAAGAATTCAAGACCAGGGATCGAAACTTCAAGATTCCAGAATCAAGATTTCAGACAAGCAACCAGAGTTCGAGTTTTCTCTCCAGAGCCCAAAAAAACATATATGCATAACTTTTTTCAGATTTTAGCTAGAGTAGATTTCAACTTAACGACGAAGGATATCTAGCTCGAAGCCGAATTTCACAATAAAGAGGTCATCCACGGTTTCAACTTCACGGCGAAGGGAATCGTGTCATCAGCGATTTCAACTACGCGACGAAGGATATCGCGCCACTCAAGACAACACAAGTTCAACTTCACAACGAAGGGACGGTTGGTTGTCAACAAACCACTTTTCAGTTTCATTCAGAGCCAATTTCAACTTCACATCGAAGGATATTGGACTCGGGACAACACAAGTTCAACTTCACAACGAAGGGATGGCTGGTTGTCAACAAACAATTTCCCAATTTCAGACTCAATTTTAACTTCACATCGAAGGATGTTGGACTCGGGACAACACAAGTTCAACATCACAACGAAGGGATGGCTGGTTGTCAACAAACAATTTCCCAATTTCAGAGTCAATTTCAACTTCACATCGAAGGATGTTGGACTCGGGACAACACAAGTTCAACTTCACAACGAAGGGACGACTAGTTGTCAACAAACAATCTCCTAATTTCAGAGCCAATAGTAAAGGATATTGGACTCGAGACGACACAAGTTAAACTTCACAACGAAGGGACGACGGGTTGTCAACAAACAATTTCCTAATTTCAGGGTCAATTTCAACTTCACATAGAAGGATATTGGACTCGAGACCATAAGTTCAACTTCACAACGAAGGGACGGCTGGTTGTCAACAAATAATTTCCCAATTTCAGAGCCAATTTCAACTTCACAGCGAAGGATATTGGACTCGAGACGACACAAGTTCAACTTCACAATGAAGGGACGGCTGGTTGTCAACAAACAATTTCCCAATTTCAGGGTCAATTTCAACTTCACATCGAAGGATATTAGACTCAAGACAGCACAAGCTCAACTTCACAGCGAAGGGGCGGTTGGCTGTCAACAAACAATTTTCCAGTTCCAGAGCCAATTTCAACTTCACGGCGGAGGATATTGGACTCGGAACAATACAACCTACTTGGATTTCAACTTCACGACGAAGGATATCCAATTTTCATGCTCAACTTCACGACGAAGGGGCCATATACATATACAACTTCACAACAAAGGGTATCATACCCCAACGGATTGACTCAACTTCACGATGAAGGGATCATCTTTAACATCACAACACCAAAGTCTTCAGGTCAAGTTCCACCTTCACGACGAAGTATCTTGAGCCTGAAGACGATTCAGAGGCCACTTGTCAAAAGCTTTGAGCTCATTTTCAACTTCACGACGAAGGATTTCGTGCTCAGAATTTTCCAATTTTGACTCAACCTCACAATGATTTCAACTCTACGACAGAGGATATTCGATATGGACAAAATTTGTGTCTTGTAATCTTTGCTCCATTTTCGTTACACGATAATGAGCAAAGGGGGGCAACTGAAGACACCAGATTTTGTCCTGCCAACCGAGGAGTCTTCATGTAACCAAAAAAGAAGAGTTGGATTAGGACTCAAATACTAGTCTAAAATAGAGTTGGATTAAGACTCAAATACTAGTCTAAAATTGGATTTTTTAGTACTATAAATAAGCCTTGTAATTACCACACCAGGGGACACGATTATGATACAAGATTACGCACACAAAAAAATACCCAAAGCAAATATGCAATAAGCCCCAAAGATTCCCTTGTAATTTTCAACATAGAAATAAAAGAGGTATTTTTACCTATATTGCTTCGATTCTCGCTTGCATGTGGCTTGTTTCACTTTTTCTTTTTCGTTTTCACTTTGAAAGGGCCGATGAACACAAGGGAACCGAGATCTTTTCTCTTAGATCTATGCTTCCCCAAGGCTTATTTTGAAAAACCGGTTTGATTTTCGGTTAAAGGAGGGGAAGAGCTTTTTTAAAATCTATATTAGTTCATTTATTTATTATATGGATATTTTATTCATTTATTTTTATTATTCATGTTATTATTATACGTATATA